GAAGGGAAGGGAAGGGAAGGGAAGGGAAGGGAAGGGAAGGGAAGGGAAGGGAAGGGTAAGGTCATGGATAAAATATAATAAGGAAGAAAAACAAAAATTTTATCACAGGGTTCTCATCTGTTCCTGAAACACATATATGTATATAAAGTATACCAATGGGTGCAAAAAATTTCAATCCTTTTTGAAACAAAAAAGTTCAGGGATGACTGCTGTTTCTGTGCTTAGAGACCATTTCTCATGTCACTCTCTACAGACAACTGGCTCCCTGTACTTATTGGAATAGCCTTTCCCACCCTCCTGCTCCAACAGGAGATCAGAGATAAGGCCACGACCCTTGGACTCTTGCTCTATGTAATGCTTTGAAATCTCTTAGAGATCCAGCTTAGAGCAGTGAGTTTGGGATTGCATTGATGAATGTTTTGCACACAGTCCTAAAGGGAGGGGCATCTTTGGACTGTGGCAAATTTCAATAATTTGTTAAAGCAAACACTGGTCCAGCAAGAAAGCTAAGAGCTACATTACTTTTGAAAACTGAAATATTTAATTTACCATGCAGCATTTTCCCCATTACCCTGGCAACAAGCTCTCTTTCTGGGTATGTACTACTTGACACCCAACCTTTGGTATAATTCTACATTTCTTTTTCATTTAAAGTTGGATTTCCCATAAATTACACACCTAAGGACTCAAAGATGAAGACTTGAAGAAGAACAGGTGAATATTTGTCACAGTAATTTGTTGTCCTGATGACATTTGATAATGTAAGAAGTTGATTTCCATTTGGTGCAAGAGGCATCAGTGCTCAAAAACAGCCTGGAAGGGTTTCATTACCAAATCCTATCCATTACAGGAAAACTAGCATAGAGCAGAAATATTGTGAGGCCAGCACCATTCATAAAATGTAGCCTTATATAGCTTTTATATCTAATAACTGCTGAAGGACATGATTCTAAAGTGAATTGAAAGTGCACGCAGTTTCCTGTATTTTGAATCCTATAATTTGATGAAATATTTTACAGGAATTTTTAATGTCCTTTAGGACCATTAGCAGGATTTTTTAATTATAAGTAGATCTTAAATCTGTCTCTGGACAGGGTAAACATTCTTTTTTCTATGAACAAGTTCACATTTAATTAGTTTACTGCATGTTTTCACTTTATTTTTCACTATAATTATTCCTGTACCTAATTTTTTTTTTCATATCACCACATTTCAGTGTTAAGCTGCTATTTATAATAAGTTTGAATTATGTCTTGATTTGGTTCCTTCCATTTATATGTGTGCTCCACATAAAAAACAATATTATGGTCATTCTGATTTTTCTTCTAATTTCTGGCACTGCTTCAAAACAACAACTTATAAAACACTAAATGAATTACACATTTTGAACTTAGATAAATGATACTAAGGAAATACAAATATATATACCAGGCCTCCAGTTGCCCATATAAGAAAGCCCTTACAATGTCCATCACTGATGGAAATACCTCTTCCAAAGAGAAATCCTGCTCTTACTTGAAGACAGTTGGAGATTTCAGTGTGTGCCAAGCTAGTAATTTCTGACAGGCAGTTCTTTGCCTCTTCCACTAAAGTGATGCTGAAGGCTGTGTTTGAAATATCTTAGCACAGTTGTGTAAGCACTTGGATTCAGTAGGTAAATCCCCCAGTAGGTAAAGCTCAGAGAACAAGACTTAGAATTTTGCATTGACAGATTTAGTGTGAGTTTAATCTTGTGCAAAATACTTTCACTCTGATTCAGAAGTTGGTTTAATAGCATGTTACAAAAAATTCTGTGTATTTTTCTTTCTTTGTTTTCCTAAGACAGTCTGGCAAGTATGATATAAAGAACATGAGCAGGAATTCTGACAAGGTCAGTAGAAAAAAAAAGCAAAGCAAGAGGTTGAAATGTACTCAGCAGGATCTCAGAATATGTAGTGCCTATGTTTTGTACTATATTTGCTGCTGGGTGTTTTCCTGGCTCAACTCAAGTCAGTGAAACTTCACCCTCAAGTATGCTGGAATCAGAAAACTTGTCCTTGGCTTTATCATTCCAGAGCTTACATTCAGCACAAAGCAGGCATTTAAAATGAAATTTCCTGAAAGGTAGTTGCAGTCAGGTGGGGTTGGTCTCTTTCTCCAGGCAGCAATTAACAGAACCAGAGGACAAAGTCTTAAACTGCACCAAGGGAAATACAGATTGCATATTAGGAAAAGGTTTTTATGGAAAGAATGATCAAGTATAGGAATTGTCTGCCCAAGGAGGTGGTGGAGTCACCATCTCTGAATGTGTTTAAAAAAAGATTAGATGTGGAACTCAGTGCCATGGTTTAGTTGAGGTGTTAGGGCTGGGATGGACTCGATGATCTTGAAGGTGTCTTCCAACCTTGTGATTGTGTGATTCTGTGAATCACATCACCAAATGTCAAGCCAGCATCTGATAACTTTGTGTACACTAGACAGCTGTC